TTACGACTGCCGTTCTAAAAAAACAATTCTTTCCCAAAGTTTGGACATCTTGATAGTAACTATCAGTTCACGAAGTACGCACTTTGTTTCACCTTGTCGCAAGATAATGTTATGTGAATTATCTGCAGCTTAACCCTGCATATACGTGCGTCTAGTGTATTCGCTGAGACAAAAAGGCGTCGTGCGGAAGAAAATCGGTTTTTGACTGTCCAGGGAGTTTTAATTAAAGTTCGCAGCCGTAAATTATACAAGGCACAAAATCGAGAAACAGTTTTCCTTTTCTCTCCTGGAAGAGTAGGTAGCGTAGGACGCGGATTTTTGAAGATACTTCATTGAAAAAGAGCCTGCGTACGAAGCGTCCATACACAGGGGCTGAACTAGAGTGTGCGCAAAAACTTACCACGAAAACGGTAAAAGCCCAACGTCGATGACGTTGTGGTAGTTCCAATTTTCTCATCTTCCAAAATAAGTTAGTTCGTCAACACACTGTCCACGGACACTATACTACCCCCCCCCTCAACAAATGCAATTATTACGACCCGTTCCTAGTCATTATATTATGTCAATAACTCAACCCGAGTTGGGGAAGAATATCACCTCAGACAAATGATGAAGCGGAAGCGACACGACATTCACGGGTGCTACCATTGACAAAGTGGAACAATTCTTCGGCACTGGAACCTAACTAGTTATGTAGGTGTGCGCATGAAGTCGCAACGCCACAAGCACCAAGTCACCCATGATTAGAAAGAGCGGTAACAACAACAACAACAACTGACCTGGATCACGGATTGTAGAGCCTGCACCTCTGCAGAAGTGGACTTCCCGTTTAAGTCAGCCTTGGACTGAAGCAGAGAGAGGTTTGAAGAAGACTGTTGCAGCCTATGGTTTGCTTCACACAGTTGGTCTGTCACTGAGGCTAGTTCTTTCTTCAGCTTGTCTAGTTCCGTCATTGCAGTCCGCCTACTACTTAGAGCTTCCTCTTTAGCCATCGTCTCATTAGCCGCTTTGGCGGCCTGTGCGGCCACTTCCTGATTGGCTAATTCCAGAGACGCCTGAACTTTGGCTAATTCCGCCTGCAGGCGTGCAACAGAGCGCTCATATTGGCTCACTTCCGCAGTCAATTGAATGCACTTATCACAATGCGGATGGGGAGTACTCATTACTGGGAC